ATCATCATCGTGGTCGTCGTCATCTTTGTAGTACACTGTATAAGAGTTATTGGAATACTTTGGGCATACTACTCACATTATGGGCTACGACTATGCTTATTCAATTTCCTCAATGTAATATTAGTTATAGGGAGGAAGCGGTGGCGATATTTAATGCATGAACAGCAGCAACAGAGTCTCTTCATTGTAGGTGATGCTATTAGAGACTATCTATTACGTGGTTGTGAATATTGGTTTAATGGTGTTGATGTTATTTTCCAAGATAAGCCAATGAAAGATCATACCATATTCTGTTATCATCCTCATGGTGCTCTTGCCATTGGCCTTACTTCAAGTATACGTTTCTTATTCCATCAATTAGATCATCATTCTCATAACTATCCTGTTATAGTTGCATCCCCCTTTCTACGGTAATAATAATAACCCTTATTACTATCATCATTATCATGATCTCTTTGAGGTGGTTTTGCCCAACTTGGAAGATTCTATTTGATTTATGCGGTATACAATTTGGTGGTGCAGGACGAAAGGAATTTAAGCAACTCTTAGAATCAGGCAAGAGCTGTGTAGGTGTAGATGATGATGATTTGTTATTAACCGCAATTGATTATTGGTTTAGGTACTCATAACTGGAGGCTTCCATGAAGCTACTATTACATGTCCTGGTACTGATAGGATATACCTTAATAATAGCAGGTAATGCTAATGAAGAGTAGTAGTTATGGAAATGGCTAATAATAATAATTATTATTATGATCAGGAAAGGATTCGTTCGTTATGCTCTCCGTGAGGGGTATTCCCTTACCCCTGTTTATGGTTTTGGTGAGACTGATACATTCTCTAATGTATTTATTGTATGTTGTCGTAATTATTATTAAAGTGTTGTCATTAAGGTACAAGGGATGTGGGCTTTCCGTTTCTGGCTTAATAGTGGTACTTTCCAACTCCCAGCGGTAGTGCTACTATGATCGAGATGATATTAGTGATGATGTAAGAGGGAATACTTTAGGTATGGGGATTAGGATATTGGTTATGTCCAATACTTCCTAAAAGGGAGAGGTTGAAGATAGTCTATGGCCGACCACTTCATTTACCATGTATACCCAATCCAAGTCGGGAAGAAGTGGATAAGTAAGCTATGATAAGTCTTGAGGTAGTTCTAAAAATATTAATCAGATATCATGCCATGTATATTGAGAGAGTTCGTCATCTCTATGATAAGTACAAACCGTATGATCGTCATCTTGAGATATGGTGATGTAACTTTCCGGTGCTCCGTTATCCCCTCGGTTGCGTTGTAGATAGTAATGAATATGCTCAGACATGTAAGCAAACAACAGCTGTGACGTACATCTGTGTATCGTTTCCATCTACCTATGTTTTGCTATAGTGGAAATGTCTAAATGGGCTCAGTTATAAAATAGCAAAGGAGCAAACTGAGGATATGAAGTGTTACGCTTGGTAAGTACTTGACAGATAAGCAAAGCTACAGAGAGGAAACTAGTGAAGTGGGAGCCACAGGTGTAACCTGTGAACGTAGTGTAAGCGATCCAATACCCATAATGGGTGTCCCATTACTGTCCTGTGCAGCACGCAACTCAAGCTAGAATCTC